AAGGACCCGCATGGTGTGGTGGTGAACGCGTTACTCCCCGGAAAGGACAATAGCGCGTTCGTTCTCCACCATAGACACCTGCGGTCCAGAGTTTTGCAAATATCTAGGCAACGTTGTGGTTGTATTTCGCTTAGTACCCTGCCGCGAAATTATAGTAGGCAGAAAATAAAAAGGTATAACAGTAGTGAAAGAGTTACTTGGAAATGATTCGCAAGAGGCACTGTTAATGAGATTCAGTAAATCTCAAAAATTTTCATAGAACCATAATATTCCTGATCATATAGGAGATACCGCAGCAATACTACAAGTACTACTTAAATATAAGTGTAGCTTCTAACCGCAATGATGCTGAGATATTTTCAAATCTCCGAATCGCAGGTGTTTATGTTGGGAATCGAACACGCTCCTACCCATTCCGGTGACTAACGCATTCACCACTCATCATGCGGGTCCTCGTCTCCCCTTTCTCTCAGCCTTTGTTTCTCTTTCTTAAGATTCTATTCATCTATAACGCCGCAGATTAAGTGTTCAATGCATGTGGGAAGAATAAAGGTGGATGGAGTGCAGAAAAATATATCTGCATATAAAGTATAAAGTTCGTCTAACGACTTTAAAAAAAGGTATTGACCAGCCAGAAAGTGGTGATGGGATCGAAAAAGGTTGAAATAAACCAGTAGCTGCAAAAATTTTAGTAATATTAATGAGAATGATGGTGGTAGAGTAATCTTCACCACTTTCATTTCGACACAGATTTGAACCATGTCCTATTTTAGTTGTTCGGTAAATATGGAACGGCTCGCTCATGTTCTTTTACTGTACGATTGAACAATCACTACAAAGTGTACTGTTAATTGATTTGCTTACGATCGATATATCGATTGCCGGCGATTTCATACGATATAAACTTATGTAAACACAATTGAACCAATTACTTCTCTGTGTAAGTAGACGAATTCAGAACATTCAAACATTCGTCGCTCCGCGTTGTTGTCATTCATTCCTTTCGATTCATTTCATGTTGATCACATATTTCATCGCTTCATACCTCGTCATCTATTCAGAAACAATTGTTATGCCCGTATACACGTATATTAAAGGTGAGTTGTCATTAATATCATTTCAAAGAGTATTTTCTTCCACTTCGGAGCATATCATGTTTGTCCGGGTATTTCCAATTACCTGGAATTTCTTACTGTAAATACGGTAGAAACTTTAAGGAGAAATATCTCTAGGACATTTCAGGCAAAGAAAAAGAAATAAATAATGTGATGAATCCTTGCTGATCCAGTGGATCACGATTCATGGACCCAACCTGTTACATCGTGTTCAATCGGTCCGTCGAACAATTGCTAGGGTCGCTGTAACAGTAGAGAGTCCTATTCTTCATAAAAGATTCTCAGTTTCCATAAAGCAGACTTCACTATGATCCACATAAGTCAGTGAAGTGTGGTGAAAAACTGAAAAAGAAGAAAAACAATCTAACGATTCCGCGAAAAATCATGCTCGACCAACATTCAGTTAGTAAGAAGCGACTGCGAAAGATCGTCACTTTCAAACCTACACGCTGGCGTCACCACCGTAATGAGTAGCGCCTGCTATACTAGTAAGTAAAGCGGTCCTGATACCAACGCCACTTGTGAGAACGAACCATTTAAGGATATAATCAAGATGCTTTATAAGGATGTGACTGAAAGCCTGAATGATAAAGAAGACTGGTGTTTATATTGCATTTGGTCTGTTTAATCACCTATTGGAGGCAATCTACAATACACGCTGGGTAGCTGCTCATTGTACATCAAACAATGAGCTCATGAAAAGAGTCTCATCGTTTTCGGTTATCTATTCACAACTTACTGGCATATCTTGTTTCACTTAATTTCTATTTACCATCTTTGGATATTGTGCCGTTTCCAGTACTTATTCTAATTGGCTCATTTTCTCATATCTCTTACCCATGAATGTTAAACACGTAACCATCGTTGAATAGTGGTCAAGTTGACTCTTCTTGGAATCTTAGAATAGCTCAGCTAGAGTAGGTCGAGGTGATTGCCAGAGTCAGTTTTCTGCGTTTGGTGATCATATAGAGCTTTTCTCAAGCAAGCACCTAAATGGTTATTCTAGATGGAGGGCCTTGGATACAGTTGGGCAGGAATTATGTGTTTATTACAAGAAATCTCTAACCACTACGTTTTCAGTCCACTTCCTTCTGAATAATGAACTAATTAGTAGAAAAATATCGTTCGTTTTCCTGTTGTGACGTTTTGAAAAAACTTTGTGGCAAAATAGATGTCAAGCTTTTAGAGTTAGTTTTGAGTTTGCAAGCAATAAATGGAAGTGATCAATGAGATCAGAACACTTGTTTTAGGATTTCAATGCTATCTGAGAGCAGTATTCACGTTCAATACTTCAGAATTATGTCCACCTGGTATGATGGCATTGACCGGCGCACGGCATGTGCGCACTTGCAACGACCAGTGTCCACGAGGCTCTAGCTGCATTCAGGGAATCTGCTGCATACATCCAGTGTCATGCAATCATTTCGCTTACAGGTACGGTATCAAGTCCATATCTATGAAGAATGTGAAGTGTTGAGTAAATAAGGTAATGTAGAACCGTATTAAACCGCATTGAACTTAACGACTAACGCTTATCGATTCGGCACCTCGTATTGAAACGAACCTAGTTTCGGTTTCTCAGCCTCTTTCAAATTCGTCTTTTATCTGTATCACTAACGATAGACAATGATTTTCAACACTTCCCCAACTTTGCATTGACATTTAAATTTATATTTTACTAGTATGTGTTTTCTCTCAACGGCTTACCGCCTCATCGTGGCTGAGGGGTATCCATGGGTGTTAGGCTGCGATGTACAGTGGCTGATTCATCCCTCCAGCAAGGTCTCCCAAGCTGAGAAGGAGTCTAGCGTTTCCATCAGGAAGTCCAGCTAAGATTAGAACAAGAACAATAGAACAACAACAATAGAACCATCACCGTCCTGTTATTAAACTAGTGGCATGGTGACAAATCTCCCTCTGGTCCACAACGGCGGCGACTGCCTGTGGTGGTGGCGACCTGCGGCAGACTTTGGCTGGGTTGACCTCTAGGCTCTAGGGAACCGCAATGTCTAAACTAACGAAACTCTAAAGAAATGGGAATTATGCTAGGGCCCGCATTGCCAGTGAAGACGGGCCATCCAAGTATCCAAGTATTATGTGTATATTTCTACTGTCGATTTTGCCACGACAACGAATTAGACGATCAATTCTGATCCTATGATATAACTGCATACGTCGTTTCTGTCGGCGTATATCGTTTTTTCATACCTTTTATGCTGCAACTGTTTTTGGAAACTTGTAACCTGTGACCCTATTAACTATTCAGTAACTTGTGTATCACCAATAAACCCCATTCGTCTTCGCAGCGCGTAGGAATTTCTTAATAAGCCACATTTGTTTGAGAGGCAAGACAAGCATCACACTTCGTTTTAATGCTGAGCTCTTTTGTTTAATTGTTTCTGGCTGTTACTAATCTCTGTCCACCTCAAGTGGCTCTACTACAGCGTAATTTTAGTCCTAACTGAGCTATAATATGGAAATGTTGAATTCCTCTGCTGGAAAGAAGCTGCTATGCAGATGAACCTACACCGTACACTGCTATTCGACACGATAGGACCGAAAACAACTGGAAGATTACCACGATGATGCTCAGATATTTGCAAAACTTGGATCTCAGGCCAGATTCGAACCCGCGTCTACTCCTTCCGGAGGTGGCTCACGTGTTATCCAATAAACCACCGAGGCCTTTGCTTTCCTTACTCTCAACCAGTCTTTTACCCTAATGGTGCAATCAACAATCACCATCAACGCGAATGATCTTAAGAGCACAAATCGGCATTAAACCCAGCTAAGCTGAGGATAGCAGAGGGCCTCAATGGCTCCGTAGGGAGTAATAACGGGTTCGAATCTGGCAGGAGTCTGCGTTTTGCAAAAAATCTCGGCATTATTGTGGTTGACTTCCACGTAATACCCTGCCATGAAAAATAACAGGCAGCAAGTAAAATATTGTAAACCAGGAATCCATTCTTGTAGTAGCCATAGAATTCCGATTATTTCAAGACGGGATGTTTGCTTAGCATACTATATTATTTAAATACAGGAGTAGAGCAGCCAGTGGCCAGTCATTAAGGCTCCTACTGCCGTCTGTGTTCCAGAAAGGAGAAAAACCTCAACCTAAGCTGAACTTTCCACTGAAAATCGTGTCCCACTAGTATTTTTACGATTATTCAAAGCAGTTGTGATAACAGTATTTATTCAGATATCCTTCGCAATACTCGTGTTTGCCTCGTGTGAAGAAAAATTGTCCTGATGATCACAAGTGCGTTCCGAGCAGCTGGGAAGGAATGTACATGTGCTGTAAGGCCAGACCAAGTCATTCTCCTCCGGTACCACCACAAAAGAGCGTGTGCCCAGGTGATTTTCAGTATTTGCTGTATAATATTGTAAATAAAAATGGACAGCTTTCTAGTAATTCCTAGTTTCGGTTGACTTCAAGTCACACTACCACCTTTAATATACTGGCTGGTATTGAATAAGCGATTTCTATCAAACTGTGGATATACAACATGCTCTGATCATTACACTATTGGAAACGGATTTAATTTGAGTAAATGAACTACATTTTTCAAAGCAACCGTCATTTAACTTTGGTACTAATAATCAATATCTTCTTGAGTTGCTAAGCTAGCAAGCAGTTGAAAAAGATGTGTATTCGGCCAACGTTTCGACGTCTTCATCTTCGTCAGAGCCGAATGAATAAAGGGATTGTGTTAACTAATTCGACGAAGTTGAATTCTACTGAACTAACCCAAAGCGAGCAAACCTTTGCTTGTCAAACACGGATTGAAGAAAAAGCATAGTGGTTTAGATTTTGCATATTTCATAAGGTCTCGCCTGACAATTCACTATTTTTCTTCGATAACCAAATACGAAGTTGGTGTTATAGAATTTGTTAGGGTACAATAGCCGACGTTTCGGCGGTTTCGTCTTCTTCAGAGCCTAGAAAGGACAAATTGGCATGCGATCTGCTCAGCCAAACGCTTTCATAACCCTAGCAGATAAGACTCAACACATAAATTTGCATTCGCATAGTAAACAGCTTCTTTTAAACGCCCACCGTTTTATTCATTGCAAGTATTCCAATTCATTAGTGGAGAACGGCTTCACAGAGTAATACATGGGCGAGGAGTGTGCCTTGGTCAGGTAATAGAATCAGCCTGAGATACGACGCTATGTCATGCGTGATGGCAAGGCGCTCCTCGTTACGGTTCATTTTTGAATTTTTGGAATTAATCGAAAACCCTTCAAGAGTCTTACGCGCTGATGTTTTGGATTTGTGCATGAGGATAGTGACTCCTACTTCAAAGTCTTCTCCGTTATGTTTCTGCATCCTACGAGCGCCTAGTAGAGTGTTTGGTTTCAATTTAGATTTACCGACTCGGTGTTCTTTTATACTTACGCAGAGTGGTCGACCCGTTTCGCCAATGTATTCGTCCCCACACGTTTTACAAGAGATCAGATAATCTGTGCCCGAACTCATGCAATCACCGTCTCTACCGTTAAGGCAAATTATGCACTTTTTCGTTGTACAGTCATGCAAGCGATGGCATCTGAGAGTGTCCGGTGGTATTTCTATCACTCTTATCGAATTCTCTATGCCGGACTTTCTTAAACTACGTTCTATACCCACATTGATGTCGTTCGAAAGCCTCTATGCCTATCCCGAGGAGCCACATTTTCGTAGCCATTCTAAATGGCTATTTTCGACGCCAGTTTCAGAGATTCCTCCCTCTACTCTCTACCTTTGCACACGCTAGTGGCAGTTCGAAACATATTTCTTATAAGCGCCCTTTTAGTATGCGAAGTACTAGAGGAGAGGTAATGAACCACTGTATTCTTACTGTTTGGCTTTCGATACCGTTTTGTGATGAGGCCGTTTTTGGATAGGCTAATTTGAACGTTCCGCAGTTGAAGCCAGTATTCTTTCGAATTCTCTCGGTGAAATTTTATGTATTTTGACTGTTCGTTACACAACTCAAAACATTTGTCCATTTCCTCTTGTATTGAGCAAATGACGAAGCAATCATCTACATATCTACTGTAGAGTATAATAGCCGGAGATTGGTTACTGCTGCTTCCACTTTAGACATATAGGCAATGGCAAAGGTTGGTGCCGGTCGCTGTCCCACTGCTAACCCTCTAATTTTGCATAATGTTTTCCGGACCATTTGACGATTGAGTAGTTAAGACACTCTTCTAAGAGTGTCATAAACTGCTACATCGGTGAAGAAATACATAATTATTGCTTTTTGGTGTTGTATAAAGAATTCGGGGGTGATTTGCATTGCGCAGTCATTCGACACGTTAGTTTAAAAGGCGGTAACATCGAAGGACTTCATAACAACACACACGACGTTAGGACGCGCATAGCGCCTACGGTCTAGGAAGATCTGGGTATTTGTGAGATGGACTGGTATGTGGTTGAGGAACTGGATGAGAATTAGGTTTATAAAGCAAGCTATTCTATCAGTAGTTCCTTGCACACAACTCCTCTGATATCTCGATGAATTTATAACACCGATGTGGTATTGAACCGCTCATTAGTTTTTTATAGTACGGTTTTTTCACGATCATATTTTAGCTAGTCACCCTGTGATCAGCAACAATCGGCAGCAATTACGTCTCTGCTCAGATTGTCAAAAAGGGTAACGTTTCCTGTTTAATTACAATTATCCTCGAAAAATTAACAACAATGACAGCGCTTTCAAAAAATATCTGCAAAAAGTCGTTGTTATCACGACGAATAGTTTTTTCAAATTACATAAAGCATTGAAGTATTCGGCGCCGATCAGTCCCTTAGGGTGCGTCATCCATTCGGTTTCATCAAGGATCGTTCGAGGTAACTGAGTGCACATCAGGCCTCCACAATGACTTACGACGGCATACTGATGTATCGAGCCAGTGCTGCTATCCTTCCAGACAAGTCTGGTGCAAATTTCCAAATAGATAATTGTGACGCGGGTTCAAGGCAACAGCCACCGAGCTACTCGCGCCCTTATTAAATTGCATATATTATAATATTATCTTTTGATTTCTTAAACATTCTTATTCGTTTTAAGCCCATAAGTTCCTTTGCTTGCGATATCACTATGCCGATAATTATATGAATTTATAGATGGAACAAGAAAGCATTTTGACAAAATCGATCTTTTAGAGTTTGTGCTCCATTTCGGACGTCTAACGTTAGCATTTGCTGTCATTCGTTCACGACGTTTTGCGGTCCCGGCAGTACAGTGGAGATGGACGGGTTATTGGCAAGAGATTGCTCTAGGGTTCCTTGTAGTGTTGGGTATGATATCTTTCTGTTTACATCTACCGTAAAATAGTGAAAATACCTTTTCTGAATGAGAGGAACAATACGTCAGAATGGAGTTCTTTGCCATGTTGCTCTCTAAATATAGTAAGAATGTGATTTTCTAGCATTACAAGGTTTTTGAGAAATCGGTCGTGGGCGGCACAGTGGCTAGAGACACTGTG